TTGAAAATCTTTCCAACCTATGCAAAACAGCTCACTTTCTGAACATCATCATAAAAAATCAGCCAGATAAATTTCATAATAGTTTCTTTTAGGTATACCAAGTGGACTGCTCTTGAGGAGTTCTGATCAAGTTGTAACTAACCTGATGGCATGATCTCCAAGGACAGTCCCACTCAGCTGAAGTGCCTTGATCACACTGGGCTGTTCTGTGAATTCAACCAATGCCACTTTGCTTTGATATCCTCTCTGGGCACCTACACGCACGTACTTCACTTCTCCGGCATGGGATGCAAGTTCAATGATTTCGTCTGGCTTCACCTGGATGGAACCCAATATGACCACCTTTTAAGTTATTAAATGAATTACCAGGAAACAGAAAAAACAAAACACACATTGGGATTCAAGTCCGTGAAGAGGACAGTTCTGCGGATTTCTTCGATACGAGCTGCATCCAGAGTTGCTGGCAAGGGTGGATACTGGGGAAGTCCATTACTTATGAGGTTATGGTCAATCGTCAGCACTTGCTGATGAGGAGGTGTTCCTGTTATCTGAAGCAAGACAGAAGGAAATGTGTCTCTATATTAGAGAGATATTGAGATGAGGGCTAAAAAAATATTCAATATCTTGAGCATGAAAAGTGTTATTCACGAAGAAAATGGATATGTGTAAAATAACTGGGAGCCAAAAAAAAAAAAATAGTGCAATTGGCAAGCTTATACTTTAAAAAGAAACTTAACAACAGAGGAAGTAGATATGGGTTCCATAAATACATCAAGGTGCACCTTCAGAGGAACAACTTTCCCCTAATGCTATATGACTTTTCTTGGTAAGCTGATCAATTTTCACAAGTAATCTCAAGCCATCAAAAGAAACTTCACAGCTTCAACTTTCCAAAACTCTTCCTAGCCAGACACCTATCCTTTGATTGTGCAGTCTATTGGTAGTAAGTACCATAGCATGTTATAAAGAATGTATAAATTTAAAAAGGATGAACAAATATGAAGAATGCTGACCACTTCCATAAATAATTTTTAAAGGAGGATTAAAAAAATAAAACCTTAGGCACACCTGGTTGGTGACATGAGCAGGAAGCTTCTGCTCAAAGCTTGGAATGAGATCAGCCATACCTCCACCTTGACTCAACACCTTCAGAGCATCTACTTCTTCTGGGATTTCATCTGCAATGAGGCAAAATACAAGCTGGTCGAGAGAAGCACCGACGTGTCAAATGTGTATAGGAGAGGACCTGACCTTCAAAAACTGGAAGGACAATGATGGCTCGATCAATAAATACGGTGTTGGTGAGATGCTGAGCCACCTTTGCACTCAAACAATTGGCGAAACGGAGGTAGCATATACGCGATGGGATCACCATTGAGACATCACGACTGCAAAAACAAAATTTTCAAGTGAGCTTCAGCTAAATACATTCAAACCTTCTGGCATTGGTTTATTCCAACTGATATTCAAAGGTAAAAAAGGTACAATTTTAGCAATAATTTAATCTCACATAGCAGCAAGCATTAACAGGGATGTGCAAAGATGACTAATGAATAATTAATCAGTCAAGTCAGCCAAGAGTAATGAGACTGTACATAAACATTTATCTACTGGGACTGGAAAAACTGCAGGACAAGATGAAGATTTCTCATGTCATAGAGGTAGTTCTTATTTTGCACAATACAAGGTCTTTTGGAATTCACTTCAGCAATATCAATATTAGGAGAATGAAAATATCTAGTACAAGAAACAAGCTGCAGGCAACTCAATAGTATATGCACTGCTTTCAGATATGTATATATGGTACTGAGTTACTTCATTATTAGGGGTTGCACTAAGGAACTTGTCTTGGCCTTCTGCCCATACATCCCAGGGGTCCTGGGACCCCCCCAGACACACAGGCAGAAGGCCTAAGACTGCAGGATTGAATATCATACTATTTTGGTTATGTTAAGTTGGCAAATACACATGGATTGTTGGACTTTTACTTTTGGGGAACCCTTCCATATAAGACCTGAGGGTCCAACCTAGCACAACCCCTGTATATGATATGGTATTGCTTGCAGTAAATTTACTTTTCAAATGATCTTGGTTAATTCTCTGGCATCCTTAGAAACAATTCTAAAATTTTTTTAAAATTGTCTATAAGAATCCAAGTACAAAATGCACAATATGGTTGTTTTTGGACCATGGTCTCAAACTGAAATTTCTAATTCTTTATCACTTTCTCCCTGTTGAGTTCTGTTTATAAACTTATGATAAGACTGGACTGATGTTGTGCCTTCATATGAACATCTAAATAAGCACCCATTGAATCAATCCTATTAAGTAAAAAAGTAAACTATCAGAAACAAATGCTCTCACTTGTGAATTTTGATATATTCATGTAACCCTTCAATAAGAAATGCTACTTCATGCCAGTAATAAGTCCTGCAGGTATCATACAGTGCCAAATAAGATATTCTGCACAATCTCATTACACTTCTGCCAACTTTGCATAAACTTTCTCAAACAAAACTCTGCTCTTGAATGCTGCATAAATTCTTGCAATGAATCCAAAATATGAAACAGAAAAGCTCCAATGATACTCACATGGTGGGATACAGTCGAATGTCCTCGACTTTATCAATGAATGAAAACAGAGTGTGCATTTGATCCTTGGTGGCTTGGGGAGCAATGTTGGAGACCTGTATGACGTGAGTCTCCCTCTCCATCCCCTCGTTGGAGTAATCTTCTATGCCATTCTCAGTGATCTCACTCTCAAGCTCCCTTGATTCTGAGGGGGGGGTTTCAAATTTCACATCTTCCATTCTCACTTCTTCTATTTTCACATCCTCCACTTTAATGTTTTCCACTTTCACCTCGTCATTCATCATGTCCAGGTCCATGATTCACAAATCTGTTGTACTTATATTCACTTCATCTGAAGTACTATAGGGTGGCAAAATTGTTTAATGATTAGGAAAAATGAAAAGGGTAAATTGGACTTAGTCCCCCTTGAATCGTTCTAGATTAACAGTTTTGCCTACATTAATCAAAGACCATTGATTGTGCCTTAATGAGTTGCATTACACTAGTTACATTAATGAGTTGCATTACTTTATGCATTACATGTGTTTAACACTCTTAAATATCTGCAATAATTAAAAAAAAACAACTGAAACAGTGATTGATAATGGTTCAGTGAATCTGCACAAGAGTAGTGAAGAGCCAGCTGAAGTATGCAAGGCCCAACCATTCATTCTCAACTCTTTCGCTGCGGTGGTCGACTTTTTTCACACAGCAGCTAGTCCTCCCTAACACATATCAATTCTACTACGCAGCGAAACAGGAGTTGATGGATAAGGCGGAATTGGCTTCTGGTTGGAAAGAAGATCCAACCTTCGATGGCAGGCCACGCATAGGCTTAGCACTCCGTGCTCATGAGCATATCTTTGCGAGAAGATTCACATCGATGGACATTCGCTGAGCGAAAAACACGCAACCAAGATTCTTTCCAAGCGAAACGCAATGATGGACGCCAATAGATGCACACACGGGAAGGCGGCGGCGACTGTCGTTCTGGGTCGTCCAGCGTGCTCCCTGCCTCTGGTGCCGAGTTACAATTGACGTGTTGCCAGATATGAACTTTGCTTTTTCGGTGGAATGGCGAATTTCCCTCATAAGACAGCTTGAGAATTCATTTTTATGTATAATGCCTCACTTACAAGGACTATTTGGATTAACTGTTGGATTGCCTTAAAATGACTGGGTCCGTCAAGGCGTTGTCCATGGTTTGTACTTGAAGTCATCTTGTGCCGTCCGTGTTTCAATTATGGCGGCGGTGTGAAGCACGTAAGTTTTCATTTTCCGTGTAAGCCAATCTGAACTTTCCGAGAACATTGCCGAAGGAATTGCGCCTCCGTCACCATGTCGAAGCTAATTGGCATGGATAAGCTGCGAAACCTCCTGAAGTCCATAAAGCATGCTGGGGGACTCCGAGCAGCTGCGTATCGGTTGTATCGGTGGGTTCCAAATAACTTAAGAAGTTATGAGGTCCAAGAGCCTCTGATCAGTTATCGCAAAATCATTTTATTCCTCTCTTGTATAACCATTGAATAGATATGTATTGAGGCACTTCAGCCTCTAGCCATGCCCTACTATAAACCCATCAAAAATACACTTTTACGCTGTGTTGTTTACAGAAATTGAAATTGGCCATGGGATAACCCTCCAGCTGTGGGTGGAGGTTTTTCCTAGCACTGTGCTGAGATTCCTTTTCCATGTAAGGAGTAGTGTCTCAAAAGCACATGTAAATTAGTGCAGCTTTTAACACATGGGATTTGCTAGTAAGATTATGGAGAAAATGAAATGTAGAAATATTTACTTTCAATAATTAAATAACTGCTGATTAGAATTTCAGAACCTAAATGGAATTAGAGGGAAGCCTTCTTGTTTACAAGGTGTCACTTGAAAAGTTTTAATTAGGTCCAACTGGTATCAACAAGCAATTGTTCTTTTTTTCTCACCTTATACAGGGTGTTTGAAAAGTCCCTGTGCAGTAGAATTCATTTATTTTGTTACATGTATTTAGTATTGTACTGCATATCACATGTATTGCATTATCAAAGACATGAATTTCCACTCAATACCTTCATCAAATATTAACACCATCCCTGATTCACATAATTTATTGTCTGTAATTCCTAGCTACATTGAGGCCTCCCACGTCATGTCGTGAATTCTACTGCACAGTGACTTTTCGAACACCCTGCAGTATGTGTACACATATAAATTGTGAAGCCATTCTAGGCTTGGCTTTAAAATTCCTTTAACTTAACATATTCTACAGCTTCAATGATCTGAGATGGGGACAATATGTTGGTGAAGACAAGTATGGCAACAAATACTATGAGAACAAGTTCTTTTTTATGGGTGAGTGATTCCTGAAACCCCTTTTAATTTCTTAGCCTGTATAACCTCTGTGTAATCCTCACACTCACATAAAAAATATTTTATATTTCAGGTCGAAGCAGATGGGTAGAATATCCCCCAAATGTTGGGACTGACTATGATGCCAGCATGGTGCCTGCAGAATGGTATGGCTGGCTTCATTACAAGACTGATAACCTACCAACAAAGGTGAGGTTTTGCCTTGTTTATATGTTGATGGAATCCCATCTACTCTTGTGACATCCTGGGCTTCGTTTTGTGGTTGAAGGTTCCTCCAGTGAAGTACCCATGGATGCTTGAGCATTCACCCAATACCTCTGGAAGCAACCAGGCGTACTTCCCCTACAGCACAACAAGGCAGAAAATTGAGCCCTGGCTTCCTCCTCATCTTAGATCCCAATCTGGGCAAGCTTAGTGTTTTTTCTGTGATGTATTTCCTCATGCATTGAATGATAGGATAGTCGACTTACCCCTCAAATAAACCATTTATTCCAAAAATATGCAACTATATATTGGACATACAAAAAAGCTGCCAAAATACAGTAATTACACCATTTCCTATATAATCACATATACATAAGAGTTTCGAAGGCCAAGGTAAAAGATCATCTGTAGGCTAAAAACATTTCCCAAGATGCAGTGAGGAAGAATTCTTGGACTAGACTATGCTTTCACATTGCAACAGGAAATATAAAATACAAATATTTGAACATCATCATATTGAGGAAAAGATAAAATAAGCATTATGCCCAAGAGGTAGGATGGTGTGGCTGGGTTTGTGGAGGGTGTGACATCACAAAACAAATGCACAGGTGAATGCCATACCAATTCAGTTCAAAACCTCCTTCAATGTGGTCCTAGAAAGCCTCTGATTGTAAACAGGATGCCTTCATGAACTGAATTCATCAAGTTTTACAACATTACCCATACAGAAATTAGAGCTAAAACCTAATTGGCTGATGCACCTGTGTCTGCTGAAGGGCAACAAAACTTTGTGGTGTAGCAGGTGACAAATTAAAAAGGCATACAAGGGAGAATAAAACTACAGGTGAAATTAAAATAGCCAACTCTCCTATACATTCCAAAAGGATGATGTAACCTTAAGTGCTGCATGATATCTACAACAGAGCAAACAGCACATTGTAAACAAAGAACTATTGGCATAAAAAAATGTGAAATGTTCAGATGTTAATGATCACAGGTTCCTGGAGGAAACGGAAAGCAGTTCTGAAAGATACTTGGTGAGAGAATGGTAAGCTTCCTTGTTGGCACTTTGATTATAACCATCACTGTTTCTATCACAGTGGACTCTGTGATCAGGCATCTCTCAGTAAGGATCACAGCTTCAGGTCATTCGTGAGAGGAGCGAGATCACATAGATACATAGTTGATATCGATGAAAGGACTTGATGAGAAGCTGTTGCTCACTTCCTTCTGTGACCACTGCGGAGCTGCAGGACAAACAAAAGCCATGCTTTCATCTAGGATGAAAGTATTTCTGATTTCTTTGGTTCCCTGATGGGCTAATTGCAACCCACATAAGCTCTGTTCAAGTCAGACAAAAATACATGATTTCTCCATATAATTTCCTTTTAAAATCAGGATAAAGTACTGCATCATTGTTCTGTCAGGAAAATACCTACTCATGCAATGCAATGGCAGAGTGCAAACAATGCAAGAGTGGGTTGTGCAACAAATCATAATAATGGCAGTGCATAAGCAAGAAGAGAAGCCTGTCACTATTGATAGGGTGATGCAAAATCTCCCAAGGTGCATTTTCTGAATTCACAGAATACACAGGTCTACTTATCAATGTCACTAATTTGTACAAAATTAATCACTTTTTATTTTCCAACTTCATAAAACCAAACTCCTTTAGAACCTGGAAGCTACTAGAACTTAGGCAGCAATAATACAAAAAGATCATAACATAACATATACAGCACACAAAATAGGTAAACAAGAAAATAGAACATAAATAATTTCAGATATAAAGTATTACTGAAATATTTGCAGTTTTCAAATAACTAGCAATACACACAGGAACAACCAGATTAATATCTATATTCTTTCATTCAACTGGTCAATTCCAGCCAGCCTGTGGCACCTCCAGTTCCTTTTTTTTTGTGCATTAGATATTAGACAACTGCTTCAAGATATTGGCATTAGCAGGAACTATTGTTTTGGACACACCAAAAACTAATGCAGAAAAGGGCTATGAAGGATTGATAAGCCTTTTCATTTGAATTTGAAAACAGAATTTGGGATATATTTTTTCTGAAAATAAAAAAATTCCCCAAGTAGCTTTTGGTCCAAAAAACCAAACCTGGTTTTAGAAGTATACAGTTCCTTTTTGCTGAAAATTTCGACAACCAGAAAAAGTGACTGAAACTTAACTAAGTAACAGTTCAATTACCAAAAGAGTCAAATAGTTGCAAGTACAAGTTACTTTACTTTAATTCATATCTTCCTTCCAGGCAAGGCAGGAAAACTTCAAGCTGTTAAGCAGCATGCATTCAGTGATAATCCAATGAGTTCATGTGGGAGGTGCAGCTGCTTAAATGCTAGCTTTTTTTCAGCACACTTTGTGTATGAACTTCATGGCATAAATGAGACTAGATGACAAAGCACTCACCTTCATTTATGTAATGAATTGTATGAAGAAATTCTAATTAGAATTGAATGAGCCTTTGCAGAGCATGACCAAATTTTTTACAACTACCATCCTTTATGCTGCAGAGAGGTGGATCAGGATTCAAACCACCTTGTGAAGATAGTCAGTCTGGCACATACAAAGATCCCCTTTGTAGCCTATACAACATCAACCAATTATAGATTTAGTGGAAGAGAGTACTACTCTGTGATGTTCTCCCATTGAATATCATAGAAAGACACAAGACTGCTAAATGTCATCATAAGGTAGGTCTGTGACATGCATAACACTCATGTAGAGGGTGGAGACGTCAATAGGCTATTTTTAATATGGATGAGTAAGGTTGCATGACTATTTTTTTTTATGTTCGTAGAAAAATTTTACTGGTAGGGTTAGCAATTTGTAAAAAAAAAAAACAAGTTGAATTGACATGAGTCAGCCTCAGGATGCTGGAGATCTATGACCTCATTGTGGAGAGGTACAAAGCTGGAAACCACCCAATGGACTTCATAAAGGAATCGAAGAAAATGAAAGCCACCCAAGACATGGTCACAAGACCATCAAACATTATAAGAGATATGGCAGTTGTCAGCCCAGGCCCAGGGGTGGAAAAAAGAGGACTGTCCGCACACCAGAGATGATTACGGTCAAACAGAACAAGATTGCCTACAATCCCCACAGGTCTTTCAGGAAGATGGCCAGGGAGGCCGGCATTGATCCCAAGACAGTGAGGAACATCGTGCATGAGGACCTGGGGATGAAGTCCTACTCCATGCAAAAGCAACAGCTCTTGACTGATGTCCAGAAGCAGAAGAGGCTGGATTGTTTCCAAAAGCTACTAAGCAGGCTGAAAAAAGGGCTTAGAGCAAGTTCATGTTCACTGATGAGAAGCAAGAACGCCATTGAGGCTGTCCGGAACCCCAGGAACAACAGAGTGGTGGCCAAGAACATCAAGGCTATCCCTGGAAGCAAGAAATTCCACCCAAAGAGAAAGCACCAGGCTGGAACCATGGTCTGGGCCGGCATCATCATGTCCTGGAAGACCCCCCCCCCCCTCCTTGTGTTCATCCCACCTAGCATCAAGGTGACAGCTGATTGGTACCTTCAGCATGTCCTACAGAACCCCATGAAGGACTGGGCCAAGATGAAGTTCAGAAACAATGACTGGATCTTCCAGCAGAATGGAGCTCCAGCTCACACTGCAAACAAGACTCAAAATTGGCTGAAAAAGGAGTTTCCAGACTTCGTACCCAAGGAAATGTGACACCATCAAGTCCGGACCTGAACCCCATGGACTACAGTGTGGTCCTACCTCAAGAGCAAGGTTGGCCCCATCAACCATGCCAATGTTGATGCCCTGAAGTTTGCCATTCAGGAGTGGGATAAGATGTCCATGGACTTCATTTCAGACTGCATCAAGGCATTTTGTAGTCATCTGGAGTGTGTCACTGAGGCCAGGGGCAGTCATTTTGAGAGAAAATTTTCCATGATGTACCAGAAGGACCAATAAACCCATGTACAAAATTCCATGTAAATGGAATGGATTTAGTAAATAGCCGATTGACGTCCCCACTCTGTAACTTCATGACAAATTTTCTGTATAGCTGTACAGTGAATCAAAATGCACCCTGGAAAAGAATAATTCCTATTAACTCACCATAAATATTCTTTAACTTCTTCATGCAAAGATCAGCCATTCAGCATGCAAGGTTTCCAAAGCATGTGGTGAAAAAAGACTTGGGTAAGGCTGCGTAATGCATCAGAATTCAGGAATCCATGCGGACCCTGCTTTCCATGCGGACCCCGCATCCCATGTGGCTGGGTTGAAAGCGAGAGTAAAGAAGCTCCTGGACGAAGGAGTCCTCGAGGTCAATGCAGGATGAGGATAAGGAGGCGGTGGGGAAAATGGGGGAGGAGGAGACTGATGGCAAGTCTTACGTGAGGAGGGGTTTGGGGGTGGGGCATGGCGGAAACGCTCCATGATCCGCTCCAACTGTGGCTCCACATCTCCCAACAGTGGTCGCTTACTTGGGCTGCTCTGCCAGCAGGCTGACATCAGCTCCCAGCACTCAGAATCAAAGTGCAGCAGCCGTTCTGGTCGAGCACCTGAAAATGTCCCATGTTCCCAATGATCAGGCAGCAAGAGAATACCTCACACCATCTGGCAACTTGCATTGGCCTCACCCTTGCGGACATAGCTCCAGAGCTGATCCTTATTGTGGCACTGATCAAAGACATATGGAAGACGAGTGGATCCAGAACAGAGGTACCAGAACAAGATTCCAAAAGCATACACGTCTACACTTGCATCATAGTATCCTAGGGGGTGAAAGTCAAATACATATACTGAATATCCTTATATTGAGCAGGGAAAGGAAGTTTGGCCTATTTAACCCTCAGAAAAAGACATAACTGGTACATGCAGCCCACTGAAAACACACCAGAATTCTAAAAATTCACCATACATATATAGCCTGTATAGTTAAAGACAACCTGGATAATCAACAACTGAATGCTTCAGGCAAAAAAAAAACATTGGAAAAGGCATCAAAATTTTGCATGATTCAGGGACAAGAAGGAAAGATAAACAAACCAGAGAAGAGCTCAGGAGCCATGTGGATGGGAGTCCCAACAATGCTTCCTGACATCATTGCCTCTGGCTTGCAGAAACCCAAATCTGTTAACTTTGCCCTGTTATTCTCGTCCAACTGGGAATAGAGAAGATTCCTGGTTCTCATGCATATTCTTGACAAGATCTTGGTTGACCAGCTGATCAAGAAGCAACTCTGGAGACAATGACCTACTGGTATTTGTTCTACCTTGACTACCTCAAAAAAATCCAGAAAAGCCATGGATAAAATATCACAATACTGCAGAGGTTATGCTACATGCTCATATAGAGATGTAAGTCATGTCAGACTCCCGACCTCTAACAAAGTCAACTCGGTCCAAAAAGTTAACAAGGCCTAAATTCCACAAAAATTTCTTTTGGAATGGGCTTTCAGCAGATCATTGCCTCTCAATCTACTCTACTCGTGCTACATATGTTTTGATCAATTGCCATTGAGGACTTCACTCACAAGAACATTCTTGAGCTTGACATCGCGATGTACAAGTCCCTGAGAGTGGAGGAAGCGGATGGCCTGAATAACGTCAATGGCAACCTGAAGCCGGGGAAGCCACTCGAGCCCTGCTCTGAGAGCAGAGTACAAGTCCCGAGTCATGCGCTCCATGATGAGGAGGACAGCTGGGGATGTCCCACCACCATAGGAGTGATCTATCACTGAGCCTCGGAAGAATACAATTCGATCATGTTCTGGAACGCATCTGCAGGAATGGAGTGGAAAACATGAGAAAGGATTCCTTATCATAATAAGTCTTCATTTGGAATGTAATGTTACCAGCAAACCAGGACTGCAAACAGGTGCTAGTACATGGGGTTACATTCACTTGCAAAGAAACCCTCTATAAAGCATCTAGTGTACCTGCATGTCCCAGAATGGCAATGGTGCTTCAATGCAGAAACCAATTTGGAAAAAATGCATCTCAGAAAGCTTTCATAAACTATAGTTTGGTTGACAGACCTGAATACTGGTACATTCTCCTCACAAATGAAGGCATAAAAATAAACCACTCGAGATGGTTCTTGCCGAGAATAATAGAACTCGAGGGCCAAATCATTCCAGTGCTTGTCATCTGGAGGAACAACAGACTTAATGGCACAAGGAGAATGACCAGCCCAGGTATCACAGGCATACACAACTCCATACTGGCCTCTCCCAATCTCTCTCCCCAACTGTGGCATTCCTGCATACAAAGGAATGATTAAGAACCCTCTTATAAAGGAAGATGAGAAAGACCAATAATAACTGTAAACTGACATGACTTACCAAAGATTATGTAGTCCCTGAGTGAAGTAACTTCAAGGGAGTAGCGAGCCACTTTGGGAGCAAGGAGCTTGCGAACCCTTGTTCGCTGCTCCTCTGTCTTCTCCAAGCGACCATTGTGGGCACTCTCAAGTCGATTCATGTTGGACAGGAACAGTTCATGTGCTGCTTTCAAGCGATCCTTAAACTGAAACCATTGAAAGAAAGCAAATACTTGAACAACCATAAAAAAGGCAAAGATTGCTAACTGGGAGGATGGCCAAAACACAGCCACATTGTGACAAGAATGACATGAAAGTCCCAAATATCATCATTTATTCAAATGAAGAAATCAACTTTAGAAATTCAAAATTTTTTTTTCAATTTCTTGATTTTTTGGGATTTTTACATGCACAGTTCCTTCCTTGGAATATTCCTTATTGTATTGTTGGGACAGGGAAATATTTACTTGTAGATTTCATATTGAACTTTTTGGCAACCAAGTAGTTTGAATATGTCCACACATACTGCCTGAAGAGGTGCAGAGCTGCAGAACCAGATTTGAAATGGCATTTATAGCTTTAGCAAAATATTGCAAATATATGCAGCAAAGGAAAAATACAAAGATAATTTCAGACATGCACTTAGTTATTTCTATTATAAACAATTTATAAACCTGTTGATGAGAGGGTCTTGAAAGCTACTGAAGTAATAAAATATAAATCTACATTTTGGTCTGTCAGAAAATGGTTAGGTTCTGCATGGCATGATTTTGGTATCAGGCAAAGACTTAAAACTACTATGTAGGCTACTATGACATAATTTGGCCTTAATTTTCATGCTTCAGGTATATCTGAGTATCTTGGAATGTATAAATCTAGAACATGAGCTTCAAAGCCACCACAAATAACATAATTTAAAAACAGCATCCAAGCAACTAAATTTGGGATAAAAACCCACAACTTCTTAAAAGCACTTGATTTAAATCACCAAACCCTGCTTGCAATGTCCATGTACCCTGTCCCAATAAGAGCTCACCTGAAGACAGATCTGCTTGGCCAACTTGGCTTCTGACAGAGAATCAATGATGTCTGAAGCAACAAGCTCCTTCCACTCCTGGCCCACTTTTGGTTTGAGACTCCATGGCAATGGAGGCAATGACCGCCGAATCCTCTCCCACAAGCTCCAGATGAAAGATGATGAAGAATGCACATTCACTTCAACCTGGTAGGCTGCATTCACTATCTGCAAGGCATGGGCAAAAGGTTCATGAAATCAACTCAGTAATTACAAGGGGTTGAAGGAGGATGACAAAAAAGCAGACCTGCTTGAGTGCCTGGCTCACATGGGGCCCATCTCCATTCTCCCAGCATGATTGTTCCAGGCTCTCAAGACAACGCTGGAGCGTCCCAACAAATGTTTCCCGCATGACATTTACAGAATCCATCACCTCCTTGGCAACAGCCACATTCACTGCTCCTAGCACCAAGTCCCGAATTTCCCCAGTGCACAGACGCAGATCGCTGGCAGAAGAGATCATTCCAGATTCTGGCACTGACACACCTGAAGTCAAGAAATGCATACTATGTAAATTTCCCACAATTTGATTAAATTCACAGGCAGTTATGGACACAAATACTAACTCTTGAAGACATGTTGGCTGGCTCTTTGGATGAGATCAACTTTATGGGCAGCAACAGTCTCTGAGATTATGTTCTTGATCTCTTCTTGCTTCCCAACTGCAACTGCCATGAGGGAGGCATACAATTCAGCCTCCTTCTCTTTTGCAAATGTGAGCCGCTTGGGAGTTATCTGCTGATCCCGTGCCATATCAAAGGCCCATAAAATGAACATCTGCAGGCATGCTGTATGCACCTAGCATAACAACAGTTCACAAATTAAAGACCACATGTCTTATCATTCCAAGAAAAATGGCAGGAGGAAGCCAGACACAGGCCTACCTTGTTGAGGATACAAGTAGCCCTGACCAGATGGGAGTGAAGGACCTGACGGACAAAGAGGAGGAGCAACGAGAACTGGCTGAAATCTTCCACCAATTCACTCTCTACATGATACATGGAACTGCTTCTGCGCCGTTTGTTATGTCTTGATCCAGATGGAATCACATTCAGGTATCCTGCATTGGTAAAAATCAAATCAAATATGCCAAAAAAATATTATTATAACATACTGTATTTCTTCACAACAACTTCATTTATAAAGAATCCCCCACTAAACCTGCAGGATGAAAAAGTGGCTCACAAACCTATGTTGCAAAGTTGCTGCAGCAGGTGGAGAGAACCATGGGGTTCCATGAAGGGAGATTCCTGCAAAGAACCAGTGCTCTCATGATGCGGAATGGGAGTGGAGGCTGATTGGCGCATTTCCATCACTTCATGTTGCTGAGACTCAGTGAGTTCCCATGTGGGTGATGATGGTGGTGCAACCTTAATAAAGAATATGGGCAGGTTTGGTGCCATGCGATGCACTTCTTCCAATTCTTCCATCTCCTGAAGAATGAAACCAGCATGGGCATGAGAACCATGGAAAAATTGATACATGTAAAGCCTTCAGAGACTGACCTTCTGAGATAAATGATCATCACTGAGAGCATAGACAAGGATGGGAATCACTCTCTCAATGCATGCAAGGAAGATGGTCTCTGTTGAGCCCACAGGAGGGTTGCATGGTAGTACCACAACCTGAGCACCATTCAACAACAGTCCATGTCGCAGCTGAACCTCTAGGACAGCACTCACGGCTCCGGGATCCTGGCAGAAAAAAATATACTTTAACACAGGCATACAAAAACATGATGGCTTTCATCCTTCATTTCACTATAAGGGGAATTTCCAAATATGGATATAGTGACCAGTGAATATGAAGTGTACAAAAAACTGCAATAGGCCCAAATTAATATTACATGAGATGAAAATAGACCAAGTGGAAGCAGCTCAGTCTCATTGGCACAACTGCTCTAAAAAAAAAAAAAAAAAAAAAAAAAAAAAAAAAAAAAAAACAAAAAACAATAAAAAACCAAAAAAAAAAGAAAAAAAAAAAAAAAAAAAAAAAAAAAAAAAAAAAAAGAGAGCAGAATGCAACGTAGATCCAACAATAGACAATCTCCTGAGTTGTCTTTTTTTTTTCCAAATGAGTATGACATGCTTCAAGTCTCTTGCTCTCTGAAATGCTTATAATCATTTCAAGTAAGTCATGTCTCTGGCAGAGGTGCACAAATTAAATTTTCAGAATTCCCTCTTAAATTCCCACAACCTAGAAATATTAGTAAATGAGCATATCAAATAAGCACTATCAGAGGCAAAAATAGTTTTTCTGCATGTAAGTGATTTGAGTTACAAATGACTCAACAATTGCAGGGATGGAAGAGTATGGAGGTGAGGTCATTTTTTCTCCACACAAATAACTCATCAATCAAACACTCCACATACACCTAAAAGAATGTTATCTTCCTCTCATAAATAGTACTGTAACCTAATCAGAACTTGAGGTCCACTAGTCACAGATATATCAGTTTGCTAAAATATAGCTCAGGTTGGAAACCTGATGCCTAATAAGAACAGGAGAACTTGTTGAGGCAGAAGATGCCAAATGATTAGTGAGAAAGACACTGCCTCTGCAGCTCAAAAAGAAATTTTGTATAACAGATGATGGGTCTACCAAGGTTATGAAATGAACCTACCGCCACATTGTATAAATTGACTTCCAAATCTCGCTGTGGTATTGTACGCCATGGTTTCTCATTTGCTTGGAGGTTCTCCACCAGTTCAAAGCTGTTGTTCACTGACAAGGAGACCTGCCAGAAAATCAGGCAATCAAAAACCTTGTAAACATTTCAATTTGTATTCCTATCCCTTTGTTTTATAAATTTTTTTTAGCATAAATTTTCACCCAGGGCTTTGGAAGGGATGGAAAGCAAAAAAAAAAAAAAAGAAAGATGGTGTATATCTGGATTAATGTGAGTATCAGAGTAATTGTTTTTCTCCTTTCTCAATTCAGTCAATGCTTCCTGTTATGTACATGAGATGAATGGGCAATGGAAGAGCACAGGTGTGGCAAGCAAAATATGCCAATGATAATGGTGTAGGTTGCAAAGGGCAGGGAAGTAGAAAAAACTAGTTGAACAGGTCTTGTTTGCCAAGGACACCAGCAATGTCCCTCTTCTTGTCTTCCTTTTCTCTTGTCATTCTTCGGCTCCTCTTCCGTACTATCCAGTCCCTCATAAATCATGACACACCAGGCAGCCAGGACTTATGGCTCTCAGTTTTCACTCTTATCTTCCCTCATTTATAATGCATTCCATGCTGGATAAAACCATTGGTGATAGTGATGCATAAAGAATTATGAAAAGGAATAATAATCCTCAGGAAAAGAAAGGAGGGTAGGCTACCATTCTATAATGGAAGCATTATTCATCATACACTCTGAAAGTTCTGTAATTGGAAAAGTATCAAAAATAAACAACCCTCCAGCACAGCACAGTGTAGTGCATTTAAAATTTTTCAGAAAATGCAGATGCTATTTTATGCAAGTACTGGCCTATCCATTTTGGCTAACCTGTGCTTGAATGCCTTCCCCACCAACAAAGCGAACCATCCTCCATGACACTCTTGAATCCAAATCCCGAATTAGAGGTAGCAGAGGCATGCCAAAGAGCTCATTCACCACACTGGCTTTGGCATATGAGGTCTGCCCCAGAATAACCAGGCGGGGTGGATGTTCAATGATGGCTGACACCTGAACTAGCCCAGCCTCTGTATGGCTCACATGTTTCATTTGTTCTGCATGGCAAAAAAAAGCATGGACTTCAAACATTCAGAATCTCTTCACAGACCTTAATGCAGAAAAGAACTTACCATATGAAAAATTTCCACTTCCATGCACTTCCCTGAGAGACTCCTTAGTATCACGTAGGAGCTTACGGAGGTACTGGCAATTTCGTCGATATTTGCACACTTCATACATAAGATTCCCTGCCATTGTTCGAGAGGAGTCACACCTTTGGCACTCCAATCATCACAAAAATTGCATTCTCACCCACACCATGCAACCAAAACTATTTGTCCCAACATAAAACCTGCAAGGAGTAGCCCAACATAATCAAAATATCTGGATTCTTGAGTCAAACTTAGTCTAGTATGATGGATAACAATAATTTTTGCATAACTCTGCAATCCATCTTTAATTATCCAAGGTGCACTGAAGCATGGCTATAGCAGTCTCAGCTCAGCAGAGGTAACAGTAGATGAAAGTTACACATAACCAAAAAGATGAAAGCTTCTTCACATTCCAAAAGAACTAAAAGCAATGGGGACAGGAAGTCCATTAGAGGCAAGCCAACCAAGGGAGGTATTCTCACCACCAGTTACTACCTTAACTGGCCATGATTGTGGATTCCAGAGTCCAGCAAGTGAACCTTTGGTGCAGGCATCACGAATATAAAAATGTACAGGTAGCTTTGTTTATAAATTTCATATATGAGATTTTCAGCATCAACATCTTCCAAAATAACTAACATTTCTTCTTCAGTCAATAGAACTGCCAAAATTAATTCATGAAGAGCACACCACTTCAACTGAGAGACAGAAATAACTGATAAAATGCACTACATCATTCATATGATAAATTACACAAAACAATAACAGATTTTCCAAACAAAATCACAATACTCTGCCACTGTGATGCCACCTGTACTGGATCAAGTCAAAAGCTTCAGAAGTTCACCACAACTTGGACTAAATAAACAATATGCAGTAAGAAAAACACTAAGACTTGTCTCAGATAGGTCACCAAACAGACAGCATTTATATTATTCCTAACATGGGAGCAACCAATAAACATCCCAGTGGTTTAGAAGTTCCAAGACAAAAAAGTACAGCCTCAAAATGTAAATCCCACATGAGCTACCACACAGGTAGGAAGTTCATGGTATTCATGAATTCTGGGTATATCAAGTCGTAAACAAGGCATAAATCAAGCTCCCATGAAGAAGTTTCCATAATTTAAAATGATTTGGCTGAAGTTTTGATCAGTTCCAATGGAAGTCATTACTTCATAATTCTTTTCTTTTATGCCTGCAGTGCCTTATTGCAAATTTAAAAAAAGCATGCATTTTCTTAATCAACCTTTATTTTTAAGACTCGCAAGTTTCATGATTTTTTAATAATCAACATTTTAGATTCAAATGATTAAACTGCTCATTACCTAACAATTATTCTTGTTTCTCCCAGCCCATTTATCAAGGGAAAATACATGCAGGTAACACAATGGACTTCCATTATGGCTATGGATTTCATTTAATTAAAAAAACCCTCTTGAATGATAAATAAATCAATATTTTTGTCAAGCTTCAGTAGTTCAAATAGACCAGCCTATTTTATAGTCATTATCTTTGGTAGTACTCAAATGTGCTTTTTCTTTGCCTTAAATATGCAATAATAAATTTAAATTGGAAAAAAAGTTTGAAATATCTGCTAGTGTTTCCGATTCCTATAGGTTTTGATGCAGTCTCAACAAGGATTCTATGAAGTGCATCAGAATGAGCCCATCACAAGGAACCTATGTTTTTCAAAGGTTAAGAAGTGAATTACAATGGTGGCATATGGTATGGTTATATCAAGGAAAACTATGGCACTATCATTTATATCACAGATTCTGAATTCAAATGAATTCTCTAATCAAAGCAAATACATAGAGCTAATTCATGTTGTATCACAAAGAAGGAAACACATAGTCTCAGAGACTGAATCTTGGGTTAACTTGAGGAAAACCATGAAACAAAGAAATAAACAAGGCCAATTGCACTGATGGAAAATATTAACCTCCCAGTGAAGGTGTTTTTCTCAAGTGCATATTCAACTTTGCCAAGGAGTAATTGCAATTCTTCTTGCTGCTTTGAAGCCACTTCAAGCAACTCCTCAACTGCACTGGTTCCACTTGTTCCCAGTCTTAGTTTCTTCCCATCATCATGGGTTGAGGAAGACTTCAAAACATTCTCTAGCTGAGACTGCATGCTTTCCAGTGCCTCATGATTTGAATTGACTTTCTTTGCAACATCTTGCATCATGGAAGAGCCGTGATCATGGGGGGCATTGACAGCATCAACAACCAGGTGACGCAATTCTTTCATCCGACGCCAGTTGCTGATGGTGGTGCCAAGTATCCCGATTATGGCACCAGTCACAGAACCAATGATGGACCAGTACTTAGTCCTTTCGGCTTGGGCACGTTCTTTTTCGTGACTATCTCTCACTGAATTTGAGAGGGCAAGGAAATAGTCTCGTTCTCCATGTTCATACATCTCAAATTCCTTTGCCACCTGCCTTTCCTGCCTCATGATGCTGTGTTCCTGGAAGAAAGCATAAACCCTATATGATTTGGTACAGAGAACACATGGACTATAGCAAATTCTGTTCTTAAAGGAAAAGAAAAGAACAATTTTAGCACATCCAGAGTACCTCAGTAACGAGCGCAAGGTATCGGTCATCTGTGCGAGGAGTCTTGTCTATTTGGATGTGCAGCTCCCTCAACTTTGACTGCAGTGAATGCAACTCCAGTTGTCTCTTCCGTCTTGCTTCTTGCATTTCCATGAACTTATCCTGTGCCTAATGATTTACAGAAATGTATGATTAATGACACCACAAAATCATTGATCAAAATCAAATTGAGTCACCTTTTTAAATTTTACTTAGTAGGATCTTAACCTTTTTGTTTTCATGATTAAGAAATCTTTTGGGATATTTCCCTCCTATAACACGAGTCTGAGTTTTTCATGTATTGTATCTGGTGGCCTTGTTTCTCTTTCATTAGCCATGACATTCATCAAACTATAGCTACTTAAATTGCTCTTTCTTCCTGAAATAATAAACTTGACTTAACTTTCCTAAGTTTTCCTTACTCCCAATTCCTGGCCTCATCCTGATCAGTATTCCTTAAGCCAGAACAAAGAAAATTCTTCTGATACTAGCTGCACTCATGAATTTGCTTCAAATTGGCCCAAATTCACTAAACATATGCCCAGAGTTCTGCCTAACCATGCAACTTATCTGCCATCTGAACTTATTCAAGGAAAAGTCAGAGACTTGGTTAATATTGGTGGGATGTTCAGCTATTCTATGCCAAATAGAAGAAGGCTATGGAGGTATTTATAGCAGGCCTTTGGGAATCACATCTATTAAGCCTCACCTGTATAACACGGGCTTGGGCAGCCTTGACATCAGTCAGGCCGATTATATCTTCATACTTCTTCATGAAAACAGTGACTCGTTCTGTACTCTGAAGATCATGCCACTTTCCTGTCAAGGACTGTCTTAATCCACTGAGTGTAGACTCAATTTTAGACTGTGGCCTCTGCTGCTGCTGATAGTTGCCAAGAACATCTTTTAACCGACCTTTCAGAAGCCTTGCATGCCTTTGGTTCATGTCCAATCTAAGCTGTCACTGACAAGAGAAGCAATGACAAGCTATTAACAGAGTATCATGCATATATACATCCTATATGTGCCTTTCCCATATCCAAACACAAAGGGCACCAGGGTTACAAGATGATGAGGGGGATAAAAATCCTAGTAGACCCAGCCTAAATGGTTACCAATGATTACTATGCCTATATGGCATCTAGTAGATAAAAAGGATTTTTGGTGAGCATGACTTTAGATAGCTTTGGTTCTATTGGGTTTGTGCACAGATGGGGGGATTGTTGCACTGCTCAGGTCTTAATGGTACTTGTTCAATTATCAACCCTGGGGGTTGAAACAGGCCCATCACAGTGAATTTAGGAAAAACTATGATTCCTCATTCACAAGTCCCATTCCCTCCCTTTGCTAATGTTAAGCCCAGAGGATTTGTTTCAACTTGGTTAAGAAGCACAGCACTTGCAGGCTAAGTGACTTGGAGGAATGCATCCTAAACCAATATAATTGCACAGTTCAAAGGCAAACATGTGTAAGTACATTCCAGACCAAAAGATCTTTGATTTCCTGCCTTACATGCACCATATATCATATCACCATCCCATCAATACATACAACAGAAAAAGTTGAATAATAATACACCAAGGGTGAATCAGTATTATACCTAACACTCAAGACATGAAAGGAGTCAGGTTGTGCAGGCATATTCTCAAATATGAGGATTGCTGCAGGGCCATAATGACTTTTAACAAAGACCAACAAACAATTTCTTTATCCACTCTACACACAACAAAGACTTATAAATGAGGATTCCTGTCCAGCCAGGAGTCTGGCTCTTTCAGGATACTCCTGAAGGACTCCTAAAGTCCTGGAGAGGGCGATGAACTTGTCTTCTTTTCCCAAAAGTCTGAACTTATGGGAAAACCAAGTGCCCATGCTCATTTTCTTAATGCCTTAACGCCTTCTTATTCCAGGCATGAACCGCATTTCAGCATGCAAAAGGCAAGTCACCTATGCATCTAGCCGGACAGAGAATCACAGGACCCCGCCCGAAACAGCTGAGCAAACATCAGCATGGCCTGCCCGCCTGCCCCACTGGAGGACGCCATGTCCGATTGCCTCCCTCCGAGGGACGTGACCCGGTGAAGAGTAAACAGGCTGGAAGAAAAACACGAGGAAAGACAGACGTGATCTGAATGCTTCGTTCTCGTGATCTTAATTTGCTATGTCATCGGCCTCGGAGGACCTGAGGGCTCAAGTCACAACGAATAACGCAGTTTTTGTGGAAAGACGGCACTGATTCGACACACCAGCACTTTATCAAGCTGAAGTCAGATACACTATGGCTGAAGGACGTGATTTCTCGAGAGGTTTTGCCGAAAGCGTTGTTAGATGGCAGTGCGTGCGTGGCAGCCTACAAACGCGCCTGAACACATGGGCGCAATATGGGGGAGGAGACCCGGGCCACCCCCACGAACGAGCATGGGGGGGTGAAAGGAGGTTCGCTTTGCCCCCCCCCCACCCAACGAAAAATTTCTGGCAACAGCACCAGACTAACGAGAACTTTCTCTTGACTCATCTCCGTAACCCCCCCCGCCCGGGGGGGGAGGGGGAAGTTGGAAGTGGAGATTCCCTGTGTGGCTGTCTACTCGCTGGATACGAAATCAGAGGATTTTAAGCGGGGAGTCGACTCCACAAACAATGACGTCATGCATGTTGGTCAGCCTACTATCTTTCTCCTAAATGAGCTGATGACCGCGATTCTAGTTCGTTTCCGTTATTGCCGCCTCAATTTACCGAGCCCGAATGTGGTGGCATGCCTTCGCGCAGAAGGAAACTTGACATTTCCTCAAAGAAATGAGGTGCAGGGTCCAATTCGTTTAACGACCGGATGTGAATGCCTGTGAAAGTTGGCATACCACTGCAATGGGGATTCCAGCAACAGACAACTGTGCTTGCATAAGGAAGTTAAAGCGAAATGATACTTTGTGTGCTGAAGGCTCTGCAGGACCCTCATCAGGGGCACGGTCCTGCTAAAACCTTCAGTGCCGATAGATCATTTTTGCAATCCCCAATAGAGCAACGTAGAAGTGGAAAAAAAAAAGTATGGCCGAAAGGCTTGTGACACCCCACAGCTCCTGTCCGCCTCGCGACAAGAGCACGCGCTCGAATGGCTGGAAGGTAACCGGTTGCGACGTGTACTGCGGAGGCGGATGCGATGATGGGGAGAGAGGCCGACAGCCGAGGCGAAATTAAGCTCGACTGGGAACCGTGCTCGAGAGATTCTACATTCCAGCACCGATAAGAGCATAATAGTATATATACTGTTTGACACATTTAAAGCATATAAAATATAAATATTTATCATTTGAAAACTTAAAATGTTCAATTTTTAATCAGTGCACCTATGTGGAAACAATGGGTTAGAGTTCTCGTTTCCACCGGCAAGACGCGTCTGAATGAGACAGAATAACCGCACGCGACATCGATTACTATTTTATAAATATTATCGCTTGCACGAAGACGGAAATACGTACCGTGGAGGTATCTTTCGTTCGAAGGACAATCGACGTCAATGTGACACTTTCCCACTCGATAATCCACAAGGGATGAGGAGTGAAACACAAGCAGCAACCGGCTCCTCGGCCGAATGTCACGGTCACACTGGCGGGTCCAGCGGCCACCTGGAGGGAAGACGCGAGGAGCGACATCTACGAAAGGCTGCAAGGCAAGCGCGGCTTCCGAGAAACTGCCGTAACCTGAGTCTCGCTTGTGGTTTACTCAACTGGTTTCCTCTGGTTCTGCTGTTACCATGGAGTTGGAATAATTACCGCGCTCCATGTTGTCGATTGCCTTGATGAGGTCCCCCCTCGTTACCCCTCTGTCGAGCGAAGACATTCCCAGCGTTTTTAAACGTTTCTGGTATGAAAGTCCTCGTACTTATTTTCTCGCTTTCGCAGATCGCCTCTGAACTCGCTCGAACAACGTTAGATTACATTTCTTTGCTGGTCTCCAAAATTGAACGCAATACTCGAAATGGGGTCTAACCAAAGCTGCACATAATGGAAGAGTAACGCGCGAGCTCTTACGCAAGAGCCTGTTACATCTGGCCACTGTCGCCTGCGCGTGCGAGAACTTCCTCACCGATCGCGATGTCAGCGTCTCTCCGTTTGAATCATCCAGCTTATCCTCGCCTCGTTATCGCCACCGGTGAAGTTTCACTTTCTCTTAATTGAACTTTCTGAGCCATTTTCAATTCCATTCGTCTCAAAGCCATAAATCCATCTCGGCTCTCACTCTGATGGAGAAACCCATTTTCGTATCGTCGGCGAATTCGGGAATTTCCCTCGCGAGACCATCGTCAACGTAAACTGCGAATGGAGACGGTCCCAAGACCGAACACCCTGGGGGGGGGGGGGGGACTCCGCTTGCAACGCCTGCAAACGCTGACTCGCCGTTTACAATTGTCTGCCGAACGAATTCCCCGCTTTGGTGACCTGGTAAATTAACCGTATTCTTCGCCGTTCGACCACCTGTACGAATTCAATTCCTGCTTTTTACAACCGATCGGCGACTTTGCCTGCAAGCCGGCTGTCGGTGCGATCTCTTCGACGCCTTAAGCAAACCCAAATCGATATCGGAAATACGTTCGCGTGGATTACCGGTATCCGCTTTCCTGCGGTCATATTCGGTCGATTTTTGCGTTTCGACCGTCCGATTCCCAGAACTTATCCTAGAATTTAACATCAAGAAAATTATTTTCCCTCTCGCACCTTCCTCGGGGCACAAACCAATTTATGTTAAAATCTACAAAGAGCAAAATCTTCTTTGATTTCTCTAATGCTATTGGTCAACATACATGATCTGAATAGTGAATTCTCATGACCTTCATTAGGTTGCCTTCGGCCTTGGTAGACCCGAAGACTGGTGTTACGACAAGCAACAGATTTTCATGGGGAGACGGCGCTGATGTGCATATATCAGCACAATATCGTACTGACAAAACTTCTTGAGAGATCAATAAGTTTTGTCGAAAGAGTCGTTAGATGGCAGTGTGTGTTTGTGTGGCAGCCGGCTAACGTGTCTGAACACAGGCTCAACAGGGGGGGCAGTCCCTTCCCACTAAAAATCAATTCTGAAAAGATTCCTTTGCTCGCCCACCCCCCCCCCCCCCCGGAGGCTTCAACTGGGCCAGAATGAC